CCCACTTCTTCCTTACAAATCCAGCTAGACCAGAGGAAGTACACTGGTACAGATAAGAGCTGGAAACATAGGGAATCCAGACAGATCAACCCCTCAGGATCAATAATGAGAGTAACCATACCAGGAGGGTAAGGGGAAGATGTGAGGAGAAAGGGGGAATTTATCACAAGGATCTACATATAACCCCCCTCCCTAGGGGATGGACAACAGAAAAGTGGGTGAAGGGAAACATTGGTCAGTGTAAGACATGAAAAAATAATAATGTATAAATTATCAAGGGTTCAGGAGGGAGGGCGGGTGTGGGTGGGAGGGAATAAAAAAATGAGGTGCTGATACCAAGGGTTCAAGTAGAAAGCAAATGTTTTGAAAATGATGATGGCAACAAATGTACAAATGTGCTTGAGACAATGGATGGATGGATTGTGATTTAAAAAAACGGTGCAAACCCCCATTAAAATGATTTTTTAAAGAAAAAATATATTAGATATAAAGGAGGAGGAATAGTATCTCTGATTCTTGTCTCTTCAAGATTTTCTAATTCCTCTGCTGGCAGAATGCATTGATCTTATAGCCACGAAGACAAATTGTACAGCCCCGGAGAGACATTGTTGAAGGGGCCTGTTCGCTTCTCCAGTGACACTCTCCTTTGGTATCGATGTGCAGGTGTTCCCGCTGGCACATGTGTGCGACAACACAAACAAGATGACGCTAATTAACCCCCAAGGAGCGAAGCTCAACACCTACAAGCAGAAAGTCGAACAAGCCATTAAGTCCTATGAAAAGTGAGTATTACTCCTGGCTAGTCTCCAGTGGGTTGGACTTTCTGCTGATTTTCTCTTAGTTTAGCCTGGACTTTTCATCTAAAGCAGCCACCTGGGTGGGGTGGAAACTATATAGAGATCTATATCCTTAAGGCGTCTCAACAGCAGCAGTTAGTAGATTGACAACAAACGTTTAGAGAAACTGTCTCCCATTTCCAAAACCCACAGAAAGCTCATGTCCCCAGGAGACCTCCCAGGCTGTTCTTGGAGCGGAATGCGTTGCTCGGTCCACCCTTCAGCATCCAGTGAAGTGGCGAAGAAAACTAGAGCAGGGGTTCTCCACCTTCCTCATGCTGCCACCCTTCCATACAGTTCCTCACGTTGTGGTGACCCCAACCATCAAGTTATTTTCGTGATACTTCATACCTGTAATTTTGCTACTGTGATGAATAGGGTGACCTCTGTGAAAGGGTCGTTCGACACCCCCAAAGGGGTGGCAACCCACAGGTTGAGATCCACTGCTCTAGGAAATGATGAATCAGTGAAGATCAGTGTGTGTTGCGATGAATCAGTGAAGAACAGTGTGTGTTGCTCTTTGTGAACATTATTTCAAGGTCGAGAAGATCATCAAATTCACTGCAATGAAATTCATGCTCTTAACTAGTCAGTGTGTCAGTGCCAACACAGGAGACTTCTTTTCACAAGGACCGTCTTCACCCTTGACGGGAATTCTAATCACCTCTCCCTCCTACCCCCAGCACATAATTAATTTTTGGTGCAGCACTTAATTAAACTTCAAGCATGCCCAGCTTCTTCAGGCAAGCCCGTTCTTGGTTCTGAAAGGTTGAATAAACTGTAAATGGCACATGGAAGTCAGGTGGCCCAGGCAGGCATTTACTGGCCATTGGATTTTAAATGTGCCTGCCGAGTGTTCAGAAGTTTACGGCCTTTCTCCACAGGGCCAGTCACCAAAGCTAAACC